TTTCTGATACAACTGATATTGAAAAAATACCATGCCACTATAAAAATACCACTCAAGCAGTTGAACGTTGTATAAAACTTGTATCAAATACTTCTTCATCAGTTTTTGAAAAAATAAAGCAAGAGATGGAGTCATCCGAGCTAAGCTTACATCTCAGTGTGAATTACCAAGGTTTGAAACTAAAAAACATTTCATAAATTTATTAAAACAAATATCAATTATTTTTTCACTTAGAAAATCATTTTTAAAAGAAATATTTTACTCAATAGTTTTTCTATTTTTATTTTCTTTCTACTGTTATGTCCAGGGTTCCAATTTTACATTGTTCTAGGTAATGAGTTTTTGCCATCGCTATAGAATCTATGGCCTAATTACCTAATTACTATAACAAAGTAAAGGAATTTAATGACTATATTGGAACCTCAGTTTTGTTTGGTTTTTAAATAAAAAAAAATTCTGAACAAAACTTAGAACCTGTAAGTTTTTTATGGGGCTATAGTTTCATTGTTTGGAACTCTGTTAGTGATTGGACAAAATATTTTATTTTAATTTTTATTGGTAAAAATATCTAAAAAAAATAAAAATAAAAAAAAAATTTAAAAACAACATTAAATTTGACCAAAGTTATATTCTTCTGCTGTCAATCAGAACATTCGATTCTACTCGCAATTTTTGTATTATTACATCCGATTTTACCCACAATTTCTTAATAATCAACAAAATTAAAAACCTCATGTCAACATTTTTCAAAAGTAAAAGTAAAATATAAAAAAATTACAAAAATAAAGATATAAAAAATTGCAGAAAGCAAGGACTAACAAGCATAAATTAGATGGTGAGTGAATCGATAGATGATCATGATAGGAACCTCAACCATATTTAAGTCCTTAACAACATAAGTCATGAAAGTAAAAACCATTTTTAACAAATTTTTAACAACTTAGATACTAAATTTTTAACAACTTTTTTTGTTAAAAGTTTATTTTGTGTTCTATAATAAATTTTACGTTTAGAAGTCACTTTTCCAGGAAATTAAATAGTACCAAAACAATATTAAACTCTGATGAAAATGTTTTTCTAAGATTCTTAAGATTCAATCCTCTTGAAAAAAAAATTCACACAAGGATTCACACCTCAGGCAATTTGAATTTAATTTTTTTGCTATGAAAATTTCTCCACCATATTACCTAGACCTCAAAATCTAGCTTTTCTTTAATCTCATTCCATAATTTATGGACTTTTTATTTGACAATTAGCTTTTTTTAAACAAATGATAATGGATGAGGGTTATTGTAAGATTTTAAAAGTGAATTTAAAAGACTATTTTTATCCATCTTTTGACAACAACATTTGACACACTTCAAAAAAAGTCGTCAAAATATGCTCTTTAATGATCGTTGGACAACCTTTTACGCATCTCTTTAGACAATCATCAACAATTGCTATACAAGCAAAACCCTTCGGATAAATATTTGTAATATTTAAAAAATTATTAATAATAGCAAAAATGTGTCCTTGGGTCAAGGAATAATGTTAGCATCTAAATAAAGATAATTCATTACACATTCACATGAAAACTACAGAAAATATATTACATATCACAACTAAATATTATTATACAATGCATTTCTTAAATACTGCTCCATACATCTACTGCATTTTTATTTAAGATATTAATGTCAACTTTAACCCAAAAAATTTTGAGGGATCAAAAATTTTGTTTTGCTACTTTGGATGTGTTACTTACACAGCTGAAATTTGTTTCTTTCTATGTGAATAAACAAATCCATCAGTTGCTTAGCGAGTTGATCTTGTTTTGTTTAATTTCATAAAATGCTATTGTTTGTCATTAAATAATTTATTAACTAATACAGTTTATTAAATTGATAATTTAATTATTAGTTTATTACCTTGACATTTGAAATTAAAATAACTATACTAATTAGTTTAGTTGATGTGTTATGAAATAGCAAAGTTAAGAACAATAACAATAAATAAAATCAACTAAAATCTGAAATTGCTACAGGAGTGGCTCCCTAATTTTATTAAACAAAATATAACTACACATAGTTCTCTCGTAGTCCTATTCTCTGAAATTGTGATACCTATTATAATACCTTTAATATAAAATTATATGCATAATGTGTAGATAATATCATAGTTATAATATATCTGGTCTATGGACTATAATATATCTGGTCTATGACTATATAAAATATATCATGACACTAGTCATGGAATCCAGCAATCAACAATAATTATTTCAGATTTTACTTAATAAATTTGTTAACCCAATCAAAAAAGGGAGTCTTTTTTTTCTGGGTTGTTCACAAGCCAAGAATCTACTTCACAATTATATAAACATTTAAAAGGCCCATAAACACCAACATCTAGAGGTTGAAATTTGTGTGATGTATGTGTCAGTAAAGTTAAGCGAGTAAACTCCATTGTCTTTTGCTGCATCAATAAAGTTGATTGTCAAATACAAATTATGATTGTCTGATGCTAAAAGAATCAGATTCTGATGTGAAAAAAAAAAAAAAAAGTGTGAACCACACCTTGAATATTTCCTCTGTCATCCATCCGGTTTGCTGGGCTATGTTGGTGCAACTTGGAGGTCCATTCTTTAGAGCTGTGTTCTTAAAAAGTATCCACATGCATTTACTGCATTGCATATAGTTCCACATTCAGCATTGGTGACAGCTATTTAATGACAGATATTTGTCAATTACCTTTTCTAGCAATTATGTGTTTGAACTGTCACAATCCCTGTTTTGTCCTGATCTGATGGAAATGGGAACTTTTGCAATGATACTTGAATATTGTTGTAAAAATTGCCCACATTTGCTCGATTGTGCCACATTGCCCACATTTGCCCGATTGTGCCACATTGCCCATATTTGCCCGATTGTGCTACATTGCCCACATTTGCCGATTAAATGACTATATTAGCTTTCAAACTTTCCATCAGCAAATGTTCAGGTTACCACTTTTTTAATCAATGGTCAGAGCAATTGATGATGTTTAACTTTTTTATGTTTGATTTATAATTATTTATAATTGATGACAACTTATTTATGTTTTAGACTTTTATTTATGTTTTAGACTTTGTCTAAAACATAAATAAAAAGCTTATTTATTCAAAGTTAAAGGCAAATCTAAACCCCGTCAAGTTCTGCAATGGGGTAAAAAAATAAATATAAATATTGACATAATGACGTGTACCACCTGAACAAATATTAGAATGCCGATGTACTTATTTTTGTTAGAAAATGTATTTTGAAAAAGTTTTACAGGGAAAACTATGCATTGCAGAGGATGAAAAATTGTTTTTTCATTCTCTGCAAAGCAAAAACTTCCTAATGTAAATGATACTTAGCAGGGAACAAGAAAATTGAAAAATCTAATTGGTTCCTCACTACTAAAAGTTGCAATCTGATTCGTTTAAAAATAAACTCTGCAGTGCAAACTATACCTCTGGAACAGTTATTTGATTGGTTGCAAAGGTATGTGGTTGTACCAGGATTTAAGATTGAAAATATTCTGAAAAGATTTGAAATTGTTTTATTAATTCATAACATAACAGTAGTGTTTTACCAATTCGAAGCAAATTAGCATAATCTTTGTTTCTTTTTTTTTTTAACTTATATATTTTCTGTGTTTACTGAAAACTGGCTAAATTTAATTGATCAGGCTATGTTCTTAATTGTTTCCTAATTTTTACCATATTTAAATATCATTAGTTAAAATGCAAGAAGTAGCCTTATGACTAGTTTACTTTTTGATAAAAGTAGCCTGAGACTAGTTTACTTTTTAGTTAAAGTTTCGAATTGTGTTTGCATTAAGACAAATAAAACTAAGATATTTAATTGCAAAAATCGTTTTCCATCCCGTCCTCCTCCCCCTCCCCATAGTTACGTCACTTACAACATAGGGTATGGCATTAATTTTTTTTGACAAGTTCAACTAAAAAACTTGCATCCCCCCCCCCCCCCCACCCACCCTGAAAGTTATAGTTCAAAGTTTTTTTTTTATTTGTAAAATATTTGAATAAACCATGATTATATACTCAAATTTATGGAAATCTATTTTAAAAACATTTAAATGCAAATAGCTATATATCATAAAAAATTAGTTTTAACAACATAAATCAAAAAAGTTCATAATTTTGCACTTCTCTATGCAATCTTTATATCTATCAAAAACCGTTTATATTTAAAAATATCAACTTGGAACAAGTGCTATTGCCTTCAGTATTTTAGTTAATAACTTTTTGCCCTGGTTATTTCAGTGCCTGGTTATTTTCGTACTGATATTCCCTACTATATTTAATTATAAAAAAAAACTTATGTCAAAGTTATACATTATTCTTAAAAATTCTTTTTTGCATTTTTTGTTTGCTACCATTCTGTATGAGTACACCATCCTTATGAATCATTAACTTATTATTTTAAATAATATTATGCTTATAAATATTATTATAATATTTATTATCAGTATTATTATTACTCTTTTTTATTCATTGTTGTTATTGTAAACATATTTATTATTACTATTACTATAATTTTTATTAATTTTGAAATCTTATAGTTTTATAATTTATTAATATTTATTGTTATAATTAAAATCTAAATTTAATTATAATAATAATTATTATAATTAAAATCTTTTACTTTTATTATAATAAATGGTTTTTAATATTATTATTATTAATACTATTGTGAAAATGATTTATGGAAAATAATTAGCTTGTTGCTGTTGTTGTTGTTGCTAAAAGTTAATGGAAGCTGTTGAAAATTTTAAGTATTTTTTAAATGTCAAGTCTATAAGCTTTCATAAAAAAATAAGATTTAAACAATTCAAATATATTTTTTAAACTACTAAAAAGAAAAGTTGAACTTATCATGAATCACCAAGCAAACAGGCAAAAGAGTTGTCTAAATAAATAAACAGTATTTAAGATAAATATAGTTTTAAATTTTTTTAATTTAATTTTTCAGAGATATGGTATCCCAAAGCATTTTGGCATTTTGTATGCTATGGGTGTGTATTTTGATTTGTTTACTTTTTTGTCTAATGCTTTTATAAGAATATGTAATGTATTATGTGTGTATGTTTGATTTATAAAATCTTTTTTTAAGAATATATTGTATAGATAAGGACGGAGTAAAAAAATAAAAAAAAGTTCATTTTGAATTTTTATTCTGGGTAAAATTAGGTATAAAATTTTTATACTGGGTAAAGTTTATTTCAAATTCTATGTTTAATTTCTTTTTTTAAGGTGTCACTCCATTGAGTAGTTTTTAACTATATGAGTGACACCTAATCTTATTTATGTAAGTTTATAGTTCATTATTGTGAATTTCAATATTTTATGGTGAAATAAATGGATTTAAAAAAAAAAATTTATGGTTAAATAAGGGGGAAAAAATATTTTATGGTGAAATTTAAAAAAAAAGAGTAAAGTAAAAAAAAGAGGATTAAAAAAAGTTTTACAAAAATGTTTTAAAAGAAGATATAAGTAAAAACAAATAGGAAACTTGATATATTTTGGTATAATATGGTTTCTGGTTTTTTTATTCTATGTTAGCGATATTACAACCAGAGCACTGTGTTACTATGTATGTATTCTTGTGTACTATAGACTACAACACAACAGAGTACAATAGATTCAGATTAAAGGTTTTATTTTTGAAACATATAAAACTTGTACACAAAGTAAATGTGAATGTAAAAAAACTAATAAAAAATGGTATTCATCAATTTTTTTTTAGAACTAAGTAATAGTTTTAATATATTTATATAAGATTAAGTATTTCAGAGAAATTTACTTATTCATATGGGGATTTAGTAAAATTTTGAACTTTGGTGATACCCATAAACTTATGCACACAACAACAATCAAAACTTTTTGATACTTTATTAAATGGCATTTTTAAATCTTTAACGTCTCTCCATAGTTTTTTTCTTTTTTCATTTAATAATTGCTCTGTACTTTTTTAACTTCAGTTTTGAGGGTTTGCTAAGGTGCAATTTTCACATCATTTTGTTTATATATATTCATTCATTTTTGTTTGTTAGTAATGACTTAAAGCTAAATCAGGCCAGAACACATGCAGAACACAACATGCTGACATGTGATTTAGTGAGGGGTAAAAGACGTAAATATTCTTTAACATAAATTTTACCAAAACTCAATTTTTCAAACTTGTACTCGAAAGAAGAGAAATTTTATAAAATTTTTAAAAATAATAATCATATTTAAATTATATAATACAATAATGATATAGTAGTAATCATATTTAAAACAATAGTCATATAATATTACAAGGTTTTTTTTTATTATGATGTTAAATAATATTTTGGTAAACAGAAAAGACAGACTTATTAGAATTATTAAACAGTTTAATTGAATTAATACTGAATCTAAATATATCTTAATAACTAATTCTTAACTTTTTAATTAAAAATTAACATTATCTCTAAGTCTAATATCTAAACTGGACTCAGAAATGTAGGGGGAGATTTTTTGTCACGCATGCATATAACTTGCCAAATAATTTTTTTTTTTTTGAAAACTTATCATGTTTAGTATGTTTAAATTTCTAATCTGCTTTTCATATATATTGGGCAATATAATAGACAGCACCATTTGCTTATTGTACTTTACAACATTAGAAAAAATTATTATAGAAAATAATATTTATAGAAAATAATATTTTTGCACCTTCTCTTAGTGAGAGGCTAGGGTTAATTTTAGAATTATTAACAAGTTTTCTGACCAGTTTTAAATCTTGAAAACCCTTCCAAAACCAGATTCGAATTTAATCAATTTTGTTTAAGAAAAATGAAAAAAAACACGACTAATGGTGTAGGGGGTATTTGTAACTCTTTTACTATTAAATTGTAGTTTCTCTTAGGATTTTCTAAATATTTATGCCTAATTTTTTCTCTAACCTCTTCTTCTTTTGTCATTCTTAAAACCTATTTAAATTTAAATTGGAAAACATATTTTTAACAAACACATTTAAAAAATATTAATACAACCACTGGAAAAAAAAAACGTATTTTCTCTTTCTGTTTATTTTATTTACATGCTTTATTCAACTGCTTACTTTTTTATCTTTGAAAATAATCTAAAGTTGGTAACTATAGTTACTAATAATAATGTAGAAAATTTTAAATAAATTTTAATTCTAAAAATAAATTTAGGTTATGCTTTATTTATGGAAGGAGTTTTAAGTGCTTGCTATCATGTTTGTCCAAATTACTCCAACTTTCAATTTGGTATGTTAAATGAATATACTTTATTTATTTTAATATTTTTTTAATATAAAGTATAAATATAAAAAGCTGAAAATTTATGCATAAAAATTTTTCTTTTAACTTTAGATACAGCATTTATGTATATGATAGGTATTCTTGGTTGTCTGCGATTGTATCAAACAAGACATCACGACATATTCATGAATGGACATTTTGTATATGCTGGTTTTGCTGCGGTTATACTTACTTCAGTTGTTGGTGTGGTAAGAATTTTTAAAAACTTTTGATAATTGATGATAAGAGAAAATAAATTTAAAAAATTAAAGGTTTGAATAGATAGATGTTGCTTTCTGTTGCTTCATAGATAGATGTTGCTTTCTGTTGCTTCACAGATAGATGTTGCTTTATTGCAAATTTTTAAATACATAAAATGCCTATTATAGACAAAATAGACAAAGCTTTAAGTTTTTTCTAATTTCAGATAAAAAAATTTTTTTTTCTGTAAACATGATTTAAATAGTTCTTTAAAAAAAATAAAAGTTTTTTTTTCTCGTTTTCGTTGTTCATCCAATGATTTTTTTTAAATTTTAGTTTTTAATTTTTAATAATCAAGGTAGTAAAGTTTACACATGGTGGCCACAGTCCTGGAATGTCCTGGATTTTTGCAAATGTCCTGGAATGTCCTGGAAAAGTTTACATTTGAAACCATTTAAAATTTAAATAAAAAGAAGTTTTTTTATTTTAGATATTTCGCTCTCTTATGTTCTGGATATTATTTTTAATAAGTCACATTTTGGCTTGTCTTTATGTTTCATTTCGAATATATTATGTGGGAAGAATAAAAACAGGTTGATTTCTAAATTTTTTTACATTTTTTTACACTTTTTTAATTTGTTGCTTAGTTAGATAAAATTTTTCAGCACTTCGCATGAATTGGATTCGTCCTGGAGTTTGGTTTGTAAAGCCTATATATATGGTAAGTTGAAGGAAGAAAATCTTAGTAAATTAAAAAAAAAAAAATTATTTTTTAAATTGTAAAACATATAAGTATTGATTTTAACTTGTTTTGGCTCAGTTTAGGTAACACACAAGATTTTTTTGAATAGTTTAAATTCTAAAAAAATCCTGGCCAACTACTCCAGCTATCCATAATGTTTCTGTCACAACTTTTATAATGTTTTCTGTCACAACTTTTATAATATTACCACTCCTTTGTGTTGCTTAAATAATTACTTTGCAATAAAGACGATAAAACTAGATTGAAACAAAAATAATATAGGATTAAAATTACACTAGTTTAGTAAATAAATAATTAGTATAGTAAATAGTAAAATTAGGTTGCATATCACTATGGAAACCAGCAGTCACATTATATAGCAGGGGGGTAATTCCATGTCAATTGAGCCAGAAAATTTCAAAAATGTCACCATACATCTCAGATTTTGCTGATTTTTATACAGTTGAGAGTACTTAGTAAAACAAAAAATCCTTGAAAATTTTAGCTTCTAGCTCCAAGAGGATCATGAAATATGATCATTTTACTTTTAACTGATCTTGGCCAGGCCCCTCTTGTCCCCTCAGAAGTGTGACCTTTGTTTAAAGGTTCCAAGTCACATAGCTTTAAAAATATTTGATCTTTTAACTTAAAAATTTGTACCTGGCTATTTTCAGGGTCGAAGAATCCAATGAAATAATCAGAAATGTAAAAAAAAAATTTTAAGTTTTTGTAATTATCAATTTAAATAAATTTAGGCAATTTTTTATATATCTAGTTTTGATGCTCAAGAAAGCCATGTGGCCTTGATGATATAAAAAAAAAAAATTGTACACATTATTCTATGTTTAATGATCTTTCAGAAAACATAAAAATTTTGATCTGCAAGTATATGGATTTCCATATATGGTTAACGGGGCACAGGCCCCACTATTTTGTAGCAGAATCTTGCCATACATTTTTCACTACCTTTCAGACTAGCTGGAACGATGAAAATTTTGGTATTTATGTAGTGTCAATAAATGTGCATTTTAAAATTAAAAAAGGGCCCAAGACACTAGGGGAGGGGGCTGGGGGGATGTGCCCCACTTTTTTGACCGGAATCTTGAGATGGATTTTTCAGTATCTTCCAGACAAGCGTGAGCTTTGAAACTTTCAGCATTTGTGTAGTCCTGATAAACATGCTTTAAAATAGTTTCAGGTTAGACGACTAGAAGGTCCATGGGACTGGGGCACCAGAGACCATGCCCCACTTATTTTCTCAAAAAAAAAAATTTTTTTTTTGTCTTAAATTTAAGATAACTTTGAAAATATTGTATTTAAATATTTTATTGCTTTATGCTTGTTCCGTTTTACTTCATTATTTACAAAATAAAATACAAAAAAAAGAAATTGTCAAGATAATGCTAAGATTAGCTTAGATGCATTGACGGTCAAAGTATACAAACGTCCATTTGTTGTTACAGGTGCATCAATTATACAAGTTATGTTGGTAATTGGAATCCAACACTCATCTACTCTAGATGGCCAGAAAAGTTTATTAAAAGGACCGTGCGGGTGCATAAATGTTACCATAACATCTTGCTCTATATTATCAACTTCATTGATCATACCAATCCAATCAAACGCATCATATTTACACATAATGAATTCACCAAATTTTAAGGCATCAATGTTAATTTGCTGATCATTTTGAGAACTTTGAATACCAGAAAAAGAAAAAATGCCTGTTATATGAACATCTTCACTTGTTCGTTTAAAGCTAATAGTATCTATAGATTCTGGTTTAAATTGATGATAGCTCCTAGTTCCAGGGATTGTTCTACTTAGCTCAAAACGTGTTTTCAAAGTGGTGCGCAATTCTGTCAGTCTTTCTTTTTCAATCTTGAAAAAAATAATCCCTTTAATATTGTTAGTAGAGTAGTCAAACATTTTGTTACAATTCAATATCTGGTCATTTATGGGCCTTTGTAGACTTGCATTTGTAGTTAATCGTTTTACAATGCCACCAATACCATCACATGATGACTTACCATGACTTGTAGCAAAAAATGTCCACTCTGCATCAATGTCAAAATCATTTTTATGGAGACAGATATTGTAAAGGTTTTTGTGGTTTTTATACTGTGCAGCACAACCATCAGAAAAATAAAGAATCTTTGAAATTTTAGGATGATATTCTTTTAAATAGTTAACTATTTGTGTTTGAACTTCATACACAAAACCAGTGTCATGCTCATTATCTTCTGACATGAAACAAAACGATTTTTCTTCAAGTTGGTCATTTTCGTTTAATAAATAGAGGGCAACAGGGTGCAATGTGCATTGACTTTTGCACCAATGGTAACTTTGGATTTCATCTTGAATCACAAAAGTGAAGTTTTCTGCAAAGTCAACTAAGACAATACAGCAGTTTTTTGCTAAATTTTCCTTTTGTTGCTTTAGGTATCTTGATTGACATTTTGCAATGTAGGAATGAGCTGTTAACTTGTTTATTGCCTCTGATAACATCAATTTGTATTCTTCAATAGTTGTTGTCTGATAGATCAATGTCGTTCTGTCTGTTTTCTGCCACTGATTGAATGACACCTCCTCGTCATTGTCATTATCAATTAGTTGTGCATCCAGAAACTTCTTTAAAGAAACCATACCTGGACAGTTCGGACATCGATGAACCATGCACTCGTTACTTGTCACATCACAAACAACTTTAGTCATCATATCTTTGTAAGTACATTTCATTTGTATAGCATTGGTCAAGAGTATTGTATTTTGATGGAGGGTACATACACAAACAGAATGAGTGCCTGATGCTCCAACAGTTATACACTATTTTGTTCTTAAACTGCAAAACTTAGAAAATCCAATAACTTCTTGAGGATATTTAGTTTTAAAAGAAACATAAAGTTCTTTAAGATTACATAAAATAAGACGCTTTTGCATGTGTTGTTTTCTACCAATACTTACGTAATCTTTTTTACCAGGCATTTGTCTAGTAAATTCTTCATCATGGTATATATTGTTGACTCTATTTAATGTTATTTCTGAAAATGTTTTTCCTTTCTTAGTGCCTGGAACTGAAAAAATCCCACTCATTTTCTTTAGTTTGCGCGCTTCTTTAATTTGGTATATAGTGACGTTGAAATATCTTGCAGCAAAATTTCTTGACCAAGACTCGGGTGTAAATGTTAATAACTGAATTTTAGTTTTTTGGTCAGAAACAATTAACTTTTCTTTTATTTCTGCTGTTAGTTTGTATAAATCATCACATTTACTTTTGTCAATAATTTTCGTATGAGGAATTTTATGCTTCAGTTCTTCTTCCCTAACATTATATACTTCTGAAATATGCTCTTCATACTTTGACATTATTTTTATAACTTTACTTTTAGCAACAGATAGCCGTTGATGCTTTGGAATGCCATGAAGTTTTATGGGGGATACACCTATTGTTTCCAAACTAACATTTAATGCCTCTCGTGACTTTTCAGAAGTAGCACATGAAATAGATTCCTCAAATTCACAATTATCTTGTTCATGAAATTTACTGATTATAGCGTCAAAGCAGCTCCGACAAAGTTGATATCCAGGCACAACATTTGGAAAATTAATTCTCAATTGCTTTGCCATGTCTAATGTTATTACATGACTCCCTGAAAAGAAAAGAACAACTTGATTTTAGTAATTACCTATGAATATGAAAATTATTTGTACTTATTTCCATATACATTGCATAACCAGATCAGCTTTTTTTCAAACTTTTATAAACTAGTAGGTTTTAATTTCATTATTCAAAAAAGATTTTACAATAATTTTTTATCAACAATATTTACCTTTGATTGCTTTTTTTTTTGATTTATGCTTGTCCAATAAATTGCAACATTTTGTGTGCTTCTTTTCAAAGTGTGTACCAAAAATCTTTTCATGATGAAGGCAGATTGTTAAAATTTTATCATCTGTTATTCCAGATCTCCAAATAAATTCTTCTCTGGCATCTTCTCTATAGCAATCAAATTTCTTTAAATCAATCTTTCTACAATAACTTAGTTTATGACAAGTATCATTTAATTTTTTTCCAAAATCACATGAATCCATTCTTACTGTAACACTAAAAACATTTTGATATTAGTTTAAAAATGAGAAACCATTAGTAATTAATTCAATGAAAGCAATCACCATGGTAATACAAAACTAAATAGTGATTGATTTCTTTTATCTTACTTTGACAAAAATAAAGTTTCCTTTTCACAAAGTTTAATTATAATCAATTTGTTAATGTTAAAAATGTTAATGACGACTTTAATAGGTAACAAATTTCTTCTATACTAGTGTAATGACAGGATGTTTTTTGTTACTGTAAACAGTTCTTATTTAATAAAATAACTTGCTGTTAACATTTTAGAATTAGCAAATATCAAATAAAATAATGATTTTGAAAAATTGATAAATTTCTTTTTTATTGATATAATGTTATGACAGAATGTTTTTTTCTGTTAAAAGTTAATTAAACAACTTGCTGTTACCATTTTAGCATTAAAATATATTAATCTTTTTTAAATTAAAATTTTAAATTATACAAAATAAAATTATAGTAAAACCATTATTTTAGACAAAATTCTTATAAACATTAACTTTCTTAAAACATTTTAAGAAAGATCATTGAACATAGAATGATCAAAAACCAAATTGAACAAATATAAATCACAAAAATTTGTGGAAGCAATGTTACCAAAGATATGTTTAACATTGTTAAAAATAAAAATCTAAAAAAAAATTTTGAAGACAATAGTTTCATGTGTTAAAATGTGTTAAAAAAAAAAAAAAAAATTTTTTTTTGAGAAAATAAGTGGGGCATGGTCCCTGGTGCCCCAGTCCCATGGACCTTCTAGTCGTCTAACCTGAAACTATTTTAAAGCATGTTTATCAGGACTACACAAATGCTGAAAGTTTCAAAGCTCACGCTTGTCTGGAAGATACTGAAAAATCCATCTCAAGATTCCGGTCAAAAAAGTGGGGCACATCCCCCCAGCCCCCTCCCCTAGTGTCTTGGGCCCTTTTTTAATTTTAAAATGCACATTTATTGACACTACATAAATACCAAAATTTTCATCATTCCAGCTAGTCTGAAAGGTAGTGAAAAATGTATGGCAAGATTCTGCTACAAAATAGTGGGGCCTGTGCCCCGTTAACCATATATGGAAATCCTTATACTTGCAGATCAAAATTTTTATGTTTTCTGAAAGATCATTAAACATAGAATAATGTGTACAATTTTTTTTTTTTATATCATCAAGGCCACATGGCTTTCTTGAGCATCAAAACTAGGTATATAAAAAATTGCCTAAATTTATTTAAATTGATAATTACAAAAACTTAAAAATTTTTTTTTACATTTCTGATTACTTCATTGGATTCTTCGACCCTGAAAATAGCCAGGTACAAATTTTTAAGTTAAAAGATCAAATATTTTTAAAGCTATGTGACTTGGAACCTTTAAACAAAGGTCACACTTCTGAGGGGACAAGAGGGGCCTGGCCAAGATCAGTTAAAAGTAAAATGATCATATTTCATGATCCTCTTGGAGCTAGAAGCTAAAATTTTCAAGGATTTTTTGTTTTACTAAGTACTCTCAACTGTATAAAAATCAGCAAAATCTGAGATGTATGGTGACATGGCCTGGCTCAATTGACATGGAATTACTCAGGGGTGTTCTTGTGTAAAAAAAAAAAAAATTTAAACCGTATACACAAGAAGCCAAATTTGGAGCAAGTATAAAAAAAATACGATTACAAAAAAAGAATTCCAAAAATATTAACATTTAACTTGAGCTCAAACGGCAAAATACCACGGAAAATGCCCCTAATTGTTCCCAATTTATTTGACTTTGAGCGCAAGGTAAATCTCAATACTTTATAAAAAAAAATTTTCTGGTGTGATCCTAATGGTCCAAATTTTTTTTTCAAACTATTGTGTATTCTGGTTTTTTCATAATTTTTGTTTAAAATAAAAAAAGATTTCGCAAAATTTATACAAAAAAAACCCTTAGTTTATTGCGTATTTGCGTATTTTCAATATTCTATTTCACAAGGTTTGTCAAGTGTATTACAAAATAATTTTTTTAGCAGAAGTTTATATATTTTGGAAATTTTTATGTTTATAATTTCTTTTTCAAGTAAAAGAAGTATAAAATATAAAATAATTTTCAAGTAGCAAATTAAACTTTAGTAAATTGAATTTTTTTATTATAAAATTGTGGCTAAACTGACCCAAAATCGTGTATTTCTATAAATTTTTTTAAATTAGATTTTTAAAAACTTTAGAACAAATAAACTTGGAATACTTGTTTTTATTTTAGGTTCGCTTTGTGTTGCTTGTCATTTTCTTTCTTATAAATCTGGCTTTGTAAGTTTTGTGTTGAAAAAAATTACTTACATTTTTAAGTTTCATTTTTTTTTAAGCGTTTAAATAAATGTGAATCTGATTGCTTAGCAACTGCAGTTTATATAAATACAATTTTAGAGTTACTTTTTAAAATACTTTATTTTAATTGAATTAAATTTTTTTAATTGAATTAAATTGATCAAAGTAGGCCAATGTCAATTTCTTTTTAATTCCAATAAATTTTAAATTTTATTAATGAATTTAAACTTTTTTTTTTCAAATTAGTTATAATTTTAATTGAATAATTTTTAATTTTTATTTTTACTATTTTTCTAGATCTATAAATGGTGTGTTGAATGTTCCTAGAGATTTTGCTACGTATTTACTCGGTATTATTATATGCAATGGGTTGCTATATGTTATTTTCTACATCATTATGAAAGTAAGTTCTTATTCTTTATCTATATTTTACGTAACAAAACAAAAAAGTATTCTTTTTATAGTTTACAACGTAAAATATAAAAAAATACTTTAAAGAAAAAAAGTCTGTATTTTATATTTTACAGCATAGGATAAATGATTACAATTTAAACTAAATTAGGATACGTTATTTTTCTGCTTTGATTTTGTGGTTTTCTTAGCATCACAGCTTAATTTTCTTTTAACAACAGCTGTGTGATTTTTTTCTTAACTGCATTTATTAATTGTAATTTTTTGCGACTTTCTTTGGCAGCACTAGTATCTTTCTTTTTTTGTAAGATATCCCCTAACAAAGAAACTGCTTGAGGTGTTGTCAAGACAGATGTTGCATGGAGTTTTTGAGCTACTGTCCTAACTTTAGGAACACTCTTCTTTGGTGATGGAAACCATCTATGATGCAGTAAGGCTTTGCTTATAGCTGTTTGTTTAGAAAGCGATATTGATGGAGTTAAGGCATGAGGAGGTGAGAATGTTTCCTCGATCATGCCTAAAGAAAGAAGAAATTGAAAATCAAAAAACCAATATTAAATTGAAGTGTCAGGGTAAACACTTACAGAATACATGCAACTTAATATAGACTATGCTGTTTCAACCTAATTTAAAGGAAATATAAATATTACCTTCAACATGGCTTCATTCCTCTACAGGGCTCGTTGATATTCTATCTGCATTTCTTCTTTGTAAATAATTAAACCATTTTTCTCTAGTGATAAAACGCAATGATTCTAAATGAGAACACTCAATGACCGAGTCATTGCATCCAAATGAACATCTATAAAAGATATGTACAAATTTAAATGGATTGAATGTTTGTATGGCCATCATGCAAAACAAGTTCATGCTTGTTTTAATAGGGAAAATATTTCAACATCGAGATGTTGGAGGAAATGAGTAGTATTTAGAGGAAGCAAGAAACGATGTATTTGCAGATTGCAGCTGTTTCACAAGATGATAATTCATTCTTGATTCATGTTTGTCTGACCAGACAACAACTGGTCTTATTATATTGTTGTCAATAAGCCATCTGTCAAAGGCATTGGCTAAATATTCATATAAAAGCTCATTGTTTATATAGCCAGCTTTTTTTCCCAATAGGAGCAAGCGTTTCTGGAAATGCCTTGTACGCATTCATCGGGATTCTTACATTTGCATAGATAGTTAAAGGTGGAGGGAGATCAGCACCAATGCTTGCTGAAAAGAAAGAAAGGAATAGACCTAAATGTAGCCCAAACTTTAGAATAAGCATCTAGTTGAATGCAATTTAATGTTCAGTATTTTAATAAAATAATTAGGCATAGCGAAGATATTAATAGACATAGGCCAAACCTTGTTAACATTTCTCTTATTATGCCTACAGTCACTTGACTGTAAGCATAATTAAAAAAATATTATTAAAGCATTTAATAGGTAGGCTAAACTTACCAAGCACTGTAACACGTTCTTTTGCATTTGTTGATGTTGCATAGTGGATATTTTTAGAGTCTTTCTCTGCCAAAACCCTCTTAATTCTTGTTAAAAATTAAAAACCTGATTCATCTATATTAAAAATCCTGCTTTCCTTTTTTGTTATGTCAAGAATATCATTTTCTGCCAAAAATGCTCTTATGTCTACAAACCATTGCTGCACTACTTGCTTGCCTATATTTGAGTGTCTCTTCATGAAGAGTGAATACCTAATGAAATATAATAAAGTTATAAGTCAGTATACCTTATAGATATATGTACATATATATAGATAATTATATATAACAGACCAATGTTTAAAACTAGAAGCTGAAACAAATTCCAAGAAATAAAATAAAAATTAAAATTGTAGTTTATGGCTCAATAGTATTTAATAACTAACCATTTTTCCCCAGGCACTAAAGTCCCAGCTTGCCTAAATTAAAAAAGGCCGATTTCTATTCATCTCAGGGAAATTCCTTTCATCAGATATAAACGAAGAAACAAGTGATAAAGCGGTATCTTTTGTGAAAGGCAGGCCACATTGTTCCTCTGTACCAGTAAAGAATGTGTTTGGACCCATCTTTTTGAAAATTGGGGCTTTGCCACTAATTTTATTATCCAGAGTAATCTGAGGAATGTTGTAAAATTTGTTGCAGCTTTTGAAACTTTCTTTTACTGAAAAATATACAGAAAATTATGCAGAAAATATGCAGAAAGTTATACAGAAAATATACAAAAAGTTATAGCATGGCTTTGACTACAGTAAAAACTAATTATAGAGTTAATTAACTAATAGGACATTAAAAATGTCAAACCTCTTAACATCTTCAATTGTATAAAACATCTTATATTGTATATTTATATTCTTCTAAATCAGTCGATTAATGAATTAATGATTGTGACATTGATTGATTTAATAAAGGATCTGCAATCGTTAATGATTGTGCAAATAAAACTTTACAAAACATCAATAATTCCAAACTTTATGAATTATAAAAAGTCCATAGGGAATTGTTGTTTAACAATCAAAACATAAAAAAATATTATTTTTATAGTAAATCTCTAAAAATGCTAGCAAACAAAAAAAAATTTCTGTCGATGATTAGAATGCAGTCTTGTCAAAGACTGGATTCAATAACTTATAGAAGGTAAGTTTCAAACATAAATCTCTGGCTAAAATTACATAAAATATGTGGCTCAGAATTTCAAATTTTTTTTTTTTTTTTGTTTTTTGTCGAATACTGGAAAACATAATAAATTGCTTCCAGTCTTTGACACCCCTTCTTCCCCTCACTTCCTTTCAATTGTTTTAATTTTAAATGATATTATATTTATCTCATCTATTTCAGTGTCAGCATTAAAAAAAAATTCAAATACATTACATTTGTCATGCATTTCTTGTGGTTACCTGGAAACAGTTATGAAAACTATTCCTAAGAGTTAAGTGCATTTACGGAACTTTTTTTGTTCCAATTCATCATATGCATGTTTATGCATGCGTTTATTTTTATGGTTACAATAACCAAACTTCTTTCATATTTAAAGGAAAGATAGGTGATCATTTCAGATTCTATTTTGGCACTTTACTTCAGTTAGTGTTTGCTCAGTATATTATTTAGTGACAAAATGTCGAAAACTGAAAGGGGTGTCAACCACTGGGTGGTTTACCCTATATTTGCTTAGTAAGTTTACATTTTTGTTGTTTTATGCTTTAATATTTTTCTGTAAAATCATTGTCATTTTGCAGTACAAGAATTTTTTGTCAATTAAGAAGTCAGTATGCCTGGCCTCACTTCTTAACTTTATAAATCCTCTTTATGGTTTTGTTTCTTAGTTACCATTTCATTTGATAAAATGGTTAATTTTTTTTTCAAAAGATTTTTTCTGGAATGTAAATTCTCTACTATCAGTTGCTCTCAACCTGAATAGTAATGGTTCATGAGATGAGGTTGTTAAAGCGGGGGCAAATAAAGAAGGAGATAAGTAAACATGATACAGATGAAACACTGATGTGTTGAGAAGATAAAAAAGAAGTACATAAAACAATGTTGTTTGAGCTTCTAGTTGAATGCAATGACTGTGCCATAGCAGGTGTTATTTTTTGGTATGCAAAGGACATGTTGCAGATATCAATAAATTGTTTAGAATCCCTTTAAAAATTATGTGCATAGAATTTAAATCTGTTCACCAGTTGCATGATCTGACTTTTACATATTTTTAAATTAAAATTCAACTAGTTCAAGAATTGTTTTAAATAATTTATCGTTGGATATGAATATATGCAGTACATGTCCATTTCTACAGTCAATACTTAAATGAGCATTGGAAAGTTGTATTGTATTGGAATTGTAAAGCTAAATAATTTTTGGCTTTACCATAAAATAAACAGCAATTCTTTTTTAGGTCCCATGATGCACTAAAAAAAAGTTTAATAATCATTATATAATTAATAAATTGGCACCTGTTATAAACCTGAAAATTTTCAACCTCACGAAATTTCTCAAATTTGACAAATAAAAATTTGAATTCTCTATTCAATCAAAAGTGATAAAGTTATAGTTTTTTTATATCTAAATCAACAATTAAATTTAATATATATATATCTATAATGTAGAGACTTTTAATAAATATATTATGATAATTAGGAGCAATTTTAAATCAAAAGCAAAAGTACACAACTTATAAAACATCCTTAATTATATAGAATAAACCTGTTTTGTAGATTCAGTCCAAAAGTTGATATTAAAGGTACAATTTTCAGTAGAAAAGTAGTATTCAATCCAAGTAGATTTAATGGTCTGTAATTAATTAGAAACTTTAATTTTACTTTATAGTGTAATTCAATTAATAAGAATCATTTAAAAATGAAAGTTATTTAAAAAAAAAAATTAATGAAATTTGATAAATTGTATATTAAAACTCTTAGGGACTAATAAAATACAGTGCAGGATCTTTAGTACATTTTATTTGCATTATATTAAAATAATTTTTTATCATTAGCCAATTTTCGTAACCTCTTGTGTAACATAAATGTTTGTTTTTTTCCTTTTGTAAATATGGTTTTAACCAAGAATATGTAACTATAAAGATAATGCAAATATGACTTACCCCTTTAAAATGAAAATATAGATAACCAATGACAAAAAAAAATTGAATAAATTTGTTATTTAAATTACCTTTAAAGACCCTATTTTTTTTTTTTTTTTTTTTTTTTTTTTGAAGGACAATTTCTTAACAAAGTTAAGAAATTGTCCTTCAAAAAAGAAAAAAAAAAGGGTCTTGATTTTTTTGGTCAATCAAATGATTTAAAAGTCATCTGATTGACCTAAAAAATTTTCGACTAAGTTTTAGCTCTTTTATTTGCTCCAACTTTTGCTGAGTATGTACTTCTTTTTCAAAAATTACTTCTAAATAAAGAAAAAAACAAAGATTAATGAAAAAATACTTTTTTACTGTTTGTTTATATATAAATAAATTGTATTATACACTTTACATTGTGAAAGCCTAAAAAAGATTTTATTACTTAATGAAAATGTGTAATTAAAATTAAAGTTTCAAATTTTTTTTTTATTCTAACCTATCAGACTACCAGACTCAAACTAAAGTTTACAAAATTGAGTAGAAATGTGTAATACCAACCATATTTTAGGTCTAGAAAATGTTATGTATGTGATTTTTTTTGTTATTCATCTCCTCAAGGCGGAGAAGACCACTACAGATGAGGAGGCTACTTAATAATGGTTATAACCCTCTTTCAACTCTATAACTCCGAAACACGAACCCTAACAAACAAGGCCGCTGTGCGGAGAAACAAGTTGATTTATTTTGTGTCTTATTTGTGTGCATTGGGTAGAAAAAGTACAAGATCAAAATATTAGAAGCTACCACCTTAATACAAGATATTATTAAACTTTTTTTGATAATATTATTTTATTATATATTAAATTCACATATACGCAGCTTTAGAATAAACTCGTGCAGATCTGCATAGATAGTAGATTTTGAAGATTTTCTTTTAACTAGTAATGGTGCTCCGAAAAAATCTAACAGCCTTATTAATTTGCATAAGTTTGTAATTATTAGTATTTAAGTAATTAATAGGTAGTATTGACACTACCTATTGCTAATCATGACCAATTATTTCTACACTCTGCCACCTGTTTCCGCTTTATATTAATAATTTATTACTTTATTTATGCATTTTATATATAAATATTGTAATAAAAAAAAAACTATAAAAATATTTTTGGCATAAAAAACTTGATTTTGTCCCTGTGCTAGGTTTGATAAAGTAGGAATTTCAAAACTTTCAGAAGTTACTTGTGCATCTGAATTGGAAGCAGACTTGAGCAGTGTATTAGAAATTACTCCAATACACCGCTTAAGATAAACATTCTCAATATTTAGCAGAAAAATTCCTGTACCACAGAAACCATTAACTATTTTTGATTTTGTAATAGTTTTATAATTCATCAGTTTTAAAATTTTTATAAACTCATCCTTCTTGCAACCATTATTTCTTTTCCAAATGTAAATTTCTTTTTTTCATCCTAGTTGGGCTGATCAAAAAATTGATGTATCACACAATTGAAGAATGTGAGTGCAATTTGGAGGAAAAGACACTATGTGAATTCCCCGATCCTTGCATCATTCCAATAAATGAATATTAATGTGATTTAGATGATTGTCTAAGAATATGAAAACAGGACGTGCAACAGGACATGCAACATCTTTCAATTCTCTGAATATAATCTTTAAAGTAGCGTTGGTTTTGTCATCCAGATTCCATTGATTCCATTTGAGTGAACAAAAAATTGCCATTGACAGTTCCTGAAACAAAAGCAAGATCTTCTATCTCTGTGAACTTTTCTTTCAAAATAACCTGGATTTTTAACATAGAAGCATTAGCTCCAAAGCAATAACAGACAGTAATGATTTTTTTAGGCCTTAATAAGTTAACTTAATAAACTGATTACCCACTTTTCTTTAATAGAACTCTCTTCACACTTGGGTTTGATTCAAAATTTTTCTCATCGATATTGTAAAAAGCATCTGGACGATCAAGGACATGAAGTAAACCATTCCTTCTTAAAAAATGCGAAAAATTATCAAAAAATCTTGTAATTCTGCTGACTAGAACCATTGCTGCCGTTTTATTTATAGATTCAAGAGTACAAAGAACTATTCCAGGATTTTTCCAATATTCTGTTGGAAGTTCATTTTTGAACTGTGGAGCATCTGAGAATTTTCGAAGTTTCCGCACGTTTAAACTACCCTTAATTAAATCATCCTTTATTTTAGGATCGCCCAAATTAGATGACATAACAAGCCATTCAACTAATTGATCTTTTTTGTATTCAGTTAACACACTTTTTGGACCAGTTTTTTTTAGACTTTCTCCATTTTGTCGTTTTTAAATGCCAACTAATTGTTCGTTCTAGTATGTCATACTTTTTGGAGGCAGCATAAACTGATAAGGTTTTTTCGTAAATTTTTTGCATAGAAACAGCTTCAAATTTTTTATACTTTTGAGATAAAAATTTTTGCTTCTTCTTCATTGGTATAGGTTTTTTTTTTTTCATAAAAAGTGTATACCGCAAAAAACATATCTTATTATATCCTATTCTACCCAGTACTTATTAATAAGTCAAAACAAAAAATAATAACTGATTACTTCTTGTTTATACCCATGGTTGCCTATTTACAGTCATTTCGGTTAAATTTTTTTTTTTTTTAAATATATATATCATTATTTTACATTAATTAATACTTACATATAATATTTTTAGTGCTTACTATCATAGATAATGTTTTTTAGGTACGAAATGGTGAAAAAATAAAGGTTCTTGTAATATTTTGCGTATTAATATCTCTTATTTTGTGGGGAATTTCAATATCTTTCTTTGTTCAAGGTCTTACGGACTGGCAGGTTTTTTTTTTTTTTTTTTTTTTATCTCATTTTTTTTTTTTTTTTTTTTTTTTTTTTTGTTGTTGCAAATAAACTTTGATTCCTACATGTATATTCTAATTTTTAGTTAAGCCCTGCAGAATCACGCGAAGGAAACAAGGAATGTACTCTTTTGGAGTTTTATGACGATCATGATTTGTGGCATTTTCTTTCTGCAACAGCGATGTTCTTTACGTTCATGGTAAAATAAAATTTTGATTTTTGCTACATATTTTTTATTCATCGTACTTACATCATGGGAGTCATGAGTTATTGCAGTTTTTCAAAATTGATATGTTACGTTAAAACATGGCTTAAATTTCTTGCCATTATTATTTTAATTTTTTTGTCGTTATTGTCTTTAGGGGATTCTAACAATTGACGATGATCTGGATGATAAAGAAAGAATAAATATTCCTGTATTTTAATGTTTTTTAAATTTCATAACTATAACTGTAATTGCAGTTCTTTTTTTAAGTTGTAATTTGCTAAATAAATTGTGAAATTATTTGTTTCAAATTTAAAATTCATCAGATGGTAAATGCAATTATAAAATAACCTTGTTTCATATATATTTATGTTATTTTACATGCCCAAGTATATTTATTCGTAAAAGTTAACTTTTAAAAATATCACCAAAATGTATGATGACGCCGGGGACGGATCTATAGTTTATTTCTCCTTTGGCAAAATTTTTTTGTGTAAATTTCAAACCCTCCATCCTTCAACCCCCCCCCCCAACAAGTCTCACAATCCCATTCCTTTTCATGCGCAACTTCTGTCAGGTGCCAAAGAAACACCCACCACCACTTCATCAATTGTGAATTTTTTCCCATCTACCCGTACTCATATTTTCAAAAAATTCTCACTTGACCTTATTTTTACGACCACCCTCCCTGTTTATTTAGCACACTAGAGTTTTATGAATCAAATTTTGTTTTGACCCACGTCAAGATTCCTTCCTATTCATGTGTATGATTTTTTATCCAGAGCGATTGAAGGCATATGATAGAAAAATACACCATCAATTAGCAAACTGCTTTTCCCAGCACATTTTTATTCCTGGATTACATATAAAATATTAAGACAATGTGTAATTTTTTTTAATGATAATGTGAAAGATTTTTATTCCTGGATTACATATAAAATATTAAGGCTTTTTGAGGCCCGGGGCTGTTTTAAAGCAGGAGGCCTCTTACCATGGTAAATCAAATAATTTATTTTCAGATTTTCTTTTAAAAACATATTTTTTTATGAACAGAAGCCTCTAAAACTGTGGGGCCCAGGGCTATAGCACTGGCAATGTAACTCTATTAGGAAATATGCAAATATTTTTAAAACTTAAAAAAGTTTAGAAATATATATACCTACTGAGCATAATCCACATTTTTAGATAAATAACAGATTTAGAAAATGCGATTTTTAAAAGGTTATTAAAAGTTTTTACTTATCACTGCTAATTATACAATTAGCAGTGGTAAATAAAAATTCAGCCTTATTTTATTTAAATTATACAGTTGATGGTTGGTGCCAAAATTTAGAAGTTTTAAGCACCGTCTAAGAGTTGTGTTTTTTTTGGTTCAGTTATTCGTAATGTGTTATCTGCGAGTTACCTTTATTTATTGAAAAATTCTAAAGAACTGTAAAGTTTGTTTGTATTATTTAAATCTATTTTAGATCAAATCTTGTAACTGCCACTATAGTTTAGCATTTAGTATAAAATTATAGTTTAGTATGAAAGCTTTTGTTAGTTTGTATTTTATGGGTTCTTACTTCAATAAAATCTAATGTTAATGCGACATTTTCAAGTGAAATTTGCAAGATGTTGTCTTACGTCATAAAACAACATCTTGCAAGTTTTGCTTTAAGGCCATTCGTACATAATAACAAACTTCAGACATCATAAATATGGCACTTTAAGAACTTTACATATGCTAACTGCAAAACACTTATGTAATTTATCGGCTTATTTATCCAATTTTTTAAGTTGCGCTGCTAACTTCCAGACTTTTTAATCTAGATCCAGATCAGATTAGGCGAATGGACCACTTAGATTCATACTACTTTAAGCATAATTTAAGTTTCGTTACTTTAGGTGATTAAAAATACACACCTCGTACCGAGATTAGATTAGGCAAAACTTATTTCGCCTAATGCATGAAAAAGCCATTTGCCTAATCATAGTTTGTAACACTACCGCGCTTATCGTGGTTAAGTTAGCAACGCACAGTGGGCCAATAGGTGGACAAAACTATGAAAATCAATGTTTGAAAGCTTAATTTTTTTTATAAAATTTTGATTTAGATATAGGCGCTACGGCACACAGTGCCTCACAGATACAAAAAAACGGCAAAAACCCTATTAATTTTTTAAATTTATTTTGATGTTTTTTAACTTAATCTTGATTGTTATAAGCATACTGAACAAGGTAAACCCATTTTTTATGATTTTGTAAATTTTTACTCTTTTTGTGAGCTTGTTATATGCAGGTTGTTTGTGGGCAAAAATTCACTAGAAATTTTAGAGTTTTCAAGTAGATCTTAAAATTGTCACAAAATGGTCATTTTTAAAAATTTTTCTTTCATTTTTTCGGTGAACATCATATATATATATATATTATATCATCCGGTAAGTAACTGTCATTGGACTTTTATCAACACCAAAAATTAATGTTCGAATTTCACAATTTGTGAAAAAATTAAAAATTTTCAGAAAATAATATTCACAATATTTACTTTTTCTAAAAATGTCCACACTTGTCCACCCTGAATTTTGATGGGGAAGTATCTTGAATATATACAGGAATGCCCGGAAAAAAAAAACCCGCCCCAAAGTAGCACGTTTTTGAGAAATTGAATTTTAAAGTTTTTTGCAATTAATAAGAAATCCGCAAAAAGTTGTTTACAAATCCAAAAAATTAGTTAGTAATATGTGCCTTTGTGATTACATCTCAAAATGAAAATAATAGACTTGATTCCCAAAGTAAGAGAAATTTGTATAACTAACAAGGATATTGTGAGCCTCCTTTATGAGGAAATTTTGATATCAGAAGGTTTGGATGGTGAAAAAGTGCATAGTGAAAAATTAACAGAAAAAATCCGAATTTTGGTGATAAAATTGAAAGCTAAGTGGATTGCAGTAAACAAAACATATGACAGGCTGTTAATGAAAGAAAAGAAATGGTTGCAAACCGAAATTCAAATTGTTATGAAAGCTGACAATGTAAGCAGAAAAGAGTTCAGTGGAGGGCGACCAAAGAAAGATTGGAAAGATCTAGGAGAGAGAAGTAAGCGAACAAGAGTTGTTGGATTATCTGCGCATGATCCATAGGTTTTAGCTCTGGCTGCTGTTAAAAGTGCAAAATCATCAGGTGACTTACAAGACTTTGCTTATGTGGTTAAAGAGTCTTTTCAGAAAGCATTTGAAATCAGAAAAAGTATGGACAGCAAGGAACCAATAATGATGAGTGAGAAAGAAGCACTTTCATTAAAAGTTAATTGTGATCTCAGTGATGATCAGTATCAAATGATAAGAAACTCCTCAATCAAACACAATGCCAATATTTATCCAACATTACATGCTCTATTCAAGGAAAAAAGTAAATGTTATCCAGAGGACCTTGTTGTAACTGAAACTTCTGCTGAAAGTAAATTACAGTCCATGGTGAATCATACTCTTAAAAAAGTTATTGTATTAAGTGAAGACAATTTAAAAACTCTGGATCCAGATCAAAATGTGCTCAATGGTCGTTTTATTCTAAAAGCAGGGTTTGATGGTGCATCAAGCCAAAGTTTGTATAAACAAAAGTATGATAACACAGACATTGAGGAGGCTAAAAAAATGAAGAATCCCTTTTCCAAACTGCAATTGTACCTCTTAAGTTAAGTGTAGAAAGTAAAACAATTTGGGAGAATAAGAAACCAAATAGTTCTCATTTTTGCAGACCTCTTCGTCTTCAATACAAAAAAGAAACCACAGAACTTAGCAAGTCAGAAGAAAAACACATTCGTGATCAGATGGCTGATTTGGAAGATTATGTTGAGATTATTACACTTGTGGATGGAAGAAAAGTCAGTATCAATATAAAATCTCATGTTGAACTAACCATATTTGATGGCAAAGTGGTTAATGCCTTAACCAACACAAAATCATCTGCAAGCTGCAATATTTGTGGTGCGAAACCATCAGAAATGAACAAGCTAGATCTAGTTAAAATTATACCTGTGAATGATGATGCTATGTCTCTTGGTTTATCATCATTGCATTGTTGGATTAAATGTTTTGAATACATACTTCATTTAGGCTACAGACTGGAGATGACTATTCCAAGGACAGATGTCAGGTTAGCCGAAGATAAGGTACTTGTTCAAACTAGAAAAAAAAACTATTAAAGATAGGTTTAGAGCAGAACTTCGTTTACTGGTAGATGTTCCAAAAACTGGATTTGGGAATACAAATGATGGTAATACTGCCCGAAGAGCATTCATGCATGGTGAGGCTTTTGCTGACATAACAGGAGTTCAGGTTGAGTTGATTCTCCGGGTGAGGACAGTTCTTCAAGCTGTTTGTTCAGGGTATGACCTAGATATTGATAGATTTAGCCAATACTGCAATGAGACTCTAGCCTTTATAGTTAATAACTATGATTGGTACAGAATGCCTCCAACTCTTCACAAACTTCTAGTTCATGGGCCTGCAATTGCTGAAAATCTAGAACTACCCATTGGTTATTATTCTGAGGAGGCTCAGGAGCCCCAAAATAAAGTGATAAGACATGCTAGGTTAAACCATTCATGCAAAATTTCCAGACTCAATGTAATGAAAAATCAATTTCAATATTTGCTGATCAGAACTGATCCAGAAATTTCGTCGATCAACTTCTTAAAACACAAATCTTCCAATGGAAACCCCTTGTCTAAACAAGTTCTTAACTTGCTGAAACACTAAGTTTAGTTTTTTTGTTTAAATCTAAATTATATTGTTACATGTTATATATGTTATATGTTACAACATACAGAAATTGTAGATATTTGTTTCTGAATAATGTAATCTTTATTGTTTTCACTGTTTACTGACAAAATCGGCTGTTATTAAAGGATTATATGTAGAGTGTTTAAAAACATTGAAAATTTGTCACTTTTTATTTAAATAAACTATATTTATATTTATGAATTTGTCTCTATAAGTACAATAAAAAACGACAGAAAAGCATGTTGAGAAAGTGGGAAAAAAATTCAGAATTTGCAAATTTGCAAAAATATTTTGAAAAAAGTGTGCAAAATTATTTTCTGACTTTCGGGTTGGGTTACTGATTAAATTTTAATATATTTAGAGCCAAAAAAGGTTGAAATCCATTCAGAAACACTGATTTGAGGGTTTTTGCCGTTTTTCCGTAGCTGTGAGGCACTGTGCGGCAGTTTCTTTCCCCTCCCTCCCTCCCCCCCCCCCTCCTTTTTTTT